AGAGGAAAGGCAAACACAAAATATATTATCTCACAAATAGGCCAAGGAAAAATATGCTTCCACAGTTTGGTTAGAAAGACCTCCTGTCTAATGCTCCACGACTGAAGCGTATCTGCAAAGGTTCGCGTTTGAATCCGCTGTCTGAGTCCAAACACAGACAGGCTTCATGGTGAATGTCGTAAATGTTTTTCTTTGCTGTCTCCTGTGCATCAGTGGATGCTGAGCTGCAGGAGCTTCACATTTAGACTGAGTTCTGCCTGATTTAACCTGGCTGAGTCTGATCTTATCTGGCTGCTGGTAATTCAGGCTCCTCTGCATGTTGGATCCAAATGGATATTTGCCCACATGCTGCAATGACCTTGAGGTCCTCCAACTGGCCATGAATATTTATGATGGTGAGCGTTTCTGCAGATAACGGAGAGGATGCAGCGCTGCGATCGGAGGCTGATGGATGTTCCTACAGGAGCCATCGATCCTGGTTTACCTCTCTGCTGCAGGCAGGCAGGCAGGAAACACCTGCCTGGTCTTCTGCAGCACAGCTGATGTTCGTCACAGAAGCGCTGAAACGCCCGGCGGCAAAGGTTCTCCGGACCTGCCTGGCAGCTGCTGCTTTAGGTTATCGCAGTTTGAGCAAATGTTTTAGCAAACGGTGTTTCCTGGAAGAGGAAATTCTGCAGAGATGTTTAGAAGACTGGATGATTGTTTTGCATTGAAAATGTTTCACAGAAAAGAATCCTTGCTTTGTTTCCCTGTGGAACTGACACTGTTGACAAAATCTTTTGACATCTGCTGGTTGATAAAAGATGAAGCATTTAGTCATTTCTCCTCCTCTGGCTTATTCTATCACCAGAAACACAAACTTGACTCATTTGAAGAAGAGATGGCCCGCTACTGATGCTCTATATCAGTGCTTTGGATCCTCTGTGATAAACAGCAAATGTCATATCAAACATTTTATATAAATAAGCTGCTTTGTTTGGAGCAACAAACCTCTTCTGCTCTTAGAAATTAGAAATTTAACTTTATTGATCTCACGATGGAGAAATTCCCTCTCTGCATTTAACCCATCCCCTTGGGGAGCAGTGGGCTGGCATTGTGCGGCGCCCGGGGAGCACTCTGAGGTGAAGGGTCTTGCTCAGGGACCCAGAGTGGAGGCTGTGGGGATTGAACCGGGTACTTGCAACCTCCTCAGAGCACCAGCGAGTCTTTACTCTTTACTCTTTACTGGGATTGCTGCCCGGTAAAGAGTCAATGCACTCATGGTCTACTAATCAAGGAATGCTGCACAGTAGATTCAATGCAGTCATTGTCTACTATTGAGGGATTGCTGCAAGGGGAAAAGTTAATGAAATCCTGGTTTATTTCTGGGCAGTAGTCTATGATTTACACTTTCCCATCTTGATGAACAGGTAGGTTTAAAACTTTCATACCCAGCATTAGGGGTGTGGGAAATAATTGTTTTGGCGATATATCGTGATATTCGGCTGCCCAATATTACATCGATCTTTCACTTCTTAGTATCTATTAAAAATAAAAATGGTTACATAAAACATTTA